TCTGTGTGTAGATGTCTATGAGTATATATATATATATATATATATATATATATAGAGAGAGAGAGAGAGAGAGAGAGAGATGGTTGTATGGTTGAAATTGTAGAGATGTATAGGTATGCTATAAATTTATGAATGTTGTTAGATTTATATCCATTAACTTGGAGTAATGAATATAAATGAATGTTGTTGAGGTGATTGTTGAAAATGCTTTAAGTATTTAAGTATGGTGTGTTGACCTATTGAGGTGTTGATGTTGAGAATGCTATAAGCATTAGAGCATGTTGACTATTTAGGATTACAGGAAAGGATGTTTTTGAAAGTTGAATATCCTATTGTGTGATATTGGTATGATGTTCTAGGAGGCTAGTTGTTGAAAACCTTCATCGAGTAGATGATAACTCTTGGAATGGATTATATAGTCTCCAATAGGTCCTTATTCAATATTGGAATAAGGTATGAAATCGATGACTATCATTCTTAATTGATTAATGGAGAGGTGTGTAGTATTGCAAGGATAATGAGTGAATTAATCCCACAAGTGACTTGGTTAATCTATGTCAACGTTGTGGTAAACCCACATTGTAACACCTTCTATCCTTCATGCATAATAATATAAAAAATAATCTTTTTGAAAAGAAATACTTTATTATATATAGGGATTCGTTTATTCCATAAGTAAGTCTATCTAGACTTATTCCGTTCAATAACTTATGTTCTACATCAAATTTTAACGATCCAACCATTGAATTTAAAGTTCTTGATGCATAGATTAAGTCTGCAAAATTTTGAAAATCATTTGATACTTCATTTCATTAATTCAAATTGATGAATAATCATAAAACCATTTTATATATTGATTTGAATTAATGAAACAAAGTATAAAATGATTTTAAATTTTTTTAAAAAATTTACAAATTTGATCTATGCATTAAGAACTTTAAATTCAACGGTTGGATTGTTGAAATTTGATGTAGAACATGAGTTATTGAACGAAGTAAATATAGGTAGACTTACTCTTAGAGTAAACGGATCTCTCATATATATCTATATGAGGAGGGTTCAAACGACACCAGTGTAACTTTTACAAAGTGTTACACCGCTAAATAAATTTATATTAAATGTGAATTTTGAAAATCCAACCGTTAGATTGAAAGTTCATATCTCTTAGATCATATATATCAAATTTTATATTAATCTAAGATGATTTGATACTTCATTCTCATAAAACAAAATTGATGTAATATATACACTTCAAAATATACTAAAATATGAACACTTTGATTACCTTCAAGTTGTTGTTCAATTTTAACAAAATTTGATATATATGATCTAAGAGATATGAACTTTCAATCTAACGGTTGGATGTACAAAATTCACGTTTAATATAAAGTTATTGAGCGGTGTAACACTTAATAAAAGTTACACCGGTGTTGTTTAAACTCTCTCTCTCTCCTCTCTCTCTCTCTATATATATATATATATATTATATATATATATATACACTATGAATCTAAGGACTATTTGTACGAAAATTTTAAGTAATGATAGTTATTCCACTATTAATAAGTAATTCTGTTAAATATGGGAACTGAGCTAGGTTATTACATTTGTGATTAAAAAATGTTTACTATAACCATGAGAAATATCTTGAATTAGCAACAAATTTGTTAATACTATTACATTTTGGTGAAATTTTCTTTCTCTGTGATTTGTTTTTCGAAAGGATTTTTTTTCATGCTCTATACTTTCACAATCACATATACATTCTTTTTCCATATTAGAAGCTCTGAAACCAGAAATCACTATGACATAATTTAAGAGAAGTCATGCAATCCAGAAGTGAGAATTTATTTGGGAATTTGTTTCTTCTGCTTATAATTTATCTTAATAAAAATATAAATTTCTTTGTAAAATAATTGTGGATGAAGTTTCAAAAACTATAACAGAGTATAGTAAGAAACATAGCTATTTTCTCACTTTTTGAGCAATAATTTTTTCTTTTCTTCTTAGGACAAGCGGATACAAGAATGATGAATAGGCCCATCAAGAAATGTCCAATTGGGTTTACCTGCCATGTTGGATGAAGTTCATTATTGTAGTCCAGATGTCCAATAGTATGAAAAGAGCCCGTCCAACAAACTTAAAACAGTTCTGTTATTCAAAGTGTTCTTTGTTTTAAATAGGGGTGGCAAAACGGGCCAGCCCGCCCCGTTTTAGTCCGCCCCGCCAATGGCCCGCCAAAAA